TTGTTTCCAACATCAGGATCTTTCCTCTTGGTCGTCTGCTGATGAGCTGGACACGTCTGGCTCCCTCAGTCCTGTATCAGGAAGGAGTACTCCCAGTCACAGACGATCGGTAATGTTTATCCCTACCTGTACATGCTGCTATATGAGAACCAGGTGTTTGGAAGCCCCTAAGACACATAGAGTAAATGCCCCAAATGCCCCAGTGAAGGCCAGATTCACCCCTGTCATTCCAAGATCTCTCCTCACGCTCTTCAAATCTTTCTCCACCTCCACAACCAGCGTTACGCTCCCTCCCTCTGGATTTTGAACTTTTTCCCAGCCTTTTACTCTTCTTGCATGTTGTCAATCTCCAGACAGTCTGCTGAGATTTCCTCCTTTCTAACTTTTCTACTTCTTCCTTCCTTTTCTTGGCAGGCTTTTTAGCTCTGCCCAGTTTGTTTCTTTTTCTCTTCCAGTATTTCTGAAACCCTTTTCTTTTTCTCAGACTTCCCTTAAATTTCTTCTCACTGTAGATACGTTTCGATCCTCGTTTTATTATAGCTAGGATGACTGGCTATTGTGCAACTGCTTCATTTCAAGTGTAGCATAGAACATGTTGTTGGTTTAATGAGCAAGCATGGCATCAACAACAGCAATGAGAAAGCATTATTTTCTCATTATTCAACTGTACATCAGTCCAAATAAGCATGTCCCTGCTTATACTATGTGTATGTTACTAAATGTCCTTGTTCCAAGATTCATGCATCACATTGCATAATTGTAGCAGTCCCTTTATTGCACTCCCAAGCTGAAGCAATTCAAAGTAGTTGTGCAATGTGAAGAGCCAGATTCCTTATTATAATAGGTTACAAAATCAGTCACTTTCACGTATGATTTTGTTGCTGCTCTTCTTTCATTTTGGGTTTTCTTTTCATCAATAGCTTTGTCTTGATTTGCCTGGACTTAAACATACTTTCTTTCTTTTACCTCCCCCCCCCCTGTTCATTGCAAACAGCAACGGGGCAAATGTAGTCTGTCACAGCCTGGACCCTCTGTGAGCAGTCCACACCACAGGTACCTTTCTGTTGGTTTCTAGCACACCCAGAAGATAATGGAACTCAGCAGCCCATGATGCACTTGGAGATCAGTTGATTTCAGCTTTGAAATGAAACACTTAAGGAACAAATATTCAGAATTTCAGCTTTTAATGCTCGTGCCAGAGTAGCAGCTCATGATAATGAATTCCATCATCTTCTGTAAGTCTAGATGCTCTGTGTAGGCTAGGCGATCAGGTGAGTGGTAGCCCACGCATCCGAGACAGGAGTTTCACAAGGAAAGGTGCAAGGCCTCCTCTCTGCCAATGTCCTTGGCTGCTTAATATTGCTAACCAGAGGGCGTTTCTTATGAATAACACAAATATTTCTCTATATCTAACTTCCTCGCTGATGCTGAGCGCGCACACACACACCCTTTTGCTCTCAAATTGCCGAGCCAGTAAATGTCTGCAATGAACAATGCAAAGGCCGCTCTCTTCCTCTCTTGCGCTGATTCTCTCTCTTGTGTGTTACATTTCTTCTCCCTCTGCTGCTGCTATCTCACTGAGTATCCACCATCTTCCCCCCTCAGTCTGTCATCTGTGAGTCTTGCCTCTCAGGTCTCCATTTGGTAAATGGTAAAGGGGCACTTTCGGTAAAAACACAGGGCAGCTTGAGTCACTTTGTTCATGCATTCTGGGATTGAGGGAAAAATACATTTAGAGAGCAAAGCAGCCTTGATTTTTCTCAATTTAAATACATTCTGAATACTTTATTTTTTACAATACATACATATGTAAACCCCTATATTACTGCTTTCAACTGACCGTGTCTTCTAACTTTTTGAGGCTATAAGAAGACAGTTTTACTGAGGGTGATGGTGACAGAAAAATGACACATTACTATTCATAGTATGACATTTTGTGAATTTGCTTATTTCCTTATGTTTCTTTTTTGGACGTGGAAGCAGTTGGAAACAGCCAGCATGTCTGGCTCTTTCCTCCTCCTCCCAGTGTCCATGCGAAACTAGGCTCTCTCCCAGCTTCATCTTAACATCTTAATTCACAAAGGGATTTCAGTCATCTCATCTAATGCTAAATCTAGAAAGTAAACTGGATTTCCCAAACTGTTGATTTAAGAAAACGCAGCTAACTACCAGGGTCAAAGATGCTGTTTCTAATTGCCGTGCTCTTCCCGCCTCCGTTTGCTTTGCATTTTTTAACAGGACACAAACTTTCAAAGACTCCATCGTTATATATGAATAAAAAGAGTATTCTCAAATTCAGCTGTTACTTGCAGCATGCCGTTTGCCTTTTACTCTAACGCCCTTTGCAAAGAAATGCAAGCTCTCGTATTAAATGTCTTTGTCTGGCACAGGATTGCAGAATGTATGCCGTGAAAACTGTTTTGTGACCGTATTCGTACTTGTGTTTATCCACCCCAGTCTCAGTCAGCATGTAGATCACAATGTTAAACATTGTCTAACATTGCTTTACCCTGTGTTGGCAATGTCTTTCAAACACAGCATGGTGCTTACATCCACTGTCGCTGGACTGAGATCTTATTTGGATTGAAACTATGCAGACAACATTAAAACAGTTAAGAGTGGGGAGAGAAGGATATTAAATTAGGATAATTTTTCAAGGGAAATTTGTTTATTGGATTAGACTAATTTAATTTGTTTGTAATTTTTACTATTTCTGTAGCAAAGAGAAGCAGTTTTGTACGTGTAAGATTGGTTTATTATATTGCTGTGGAAGTACAACCGTGTTTCCAACAAAGACGGGAGTATGTGCAAAATGTAAATAAAATAAAAATGCAATGATCATTTAAACTCAATTATATTTAATATAAAGAAATCAAATGATGAAATGCATGTAATTTGATTCTTAAAATTCGGTTCTATGTTTTTATATATGTTCAGTCAATTTTGAAAGCAGCCTCGTGTTTCAAATTGGTGGTGCAGGGCATGTTTATAATTGTGATCAAGAGTTTAAGTGGGTATCCAAACTCTCTCTACTACAGAGACTGTGGTTTTGCTCAAATAAACCAGGCTGGCTGATATCTAGATGGCAGCATGTGTTGCTTCAAAACCTGTATTTATCTAATTTCATTTATCCTGTATCTTTCTTCACAGATGGTCAAGTTATAAAAGCTACATCTACTGTTATTATCATATAATAGATGTTGGCTCATGTTCTCTTTATGCCAAAGGACCAACTATTCATCATTTCCATGAAGAAATTCAGACTTTGATTGGTTAGACTATAGTATAAGTTACAATTTAAAGAACTCTCTTCCAGCATGTTACATGTTTTGTATGGAAGCTTGTTTCTGTCACTGAAAAAATCCTTTTAAAGTCAAAATTTCGAGTTATTGTCTGAAAATTTCGACTGATTAACTCAAGCTTGAAATTAAGAAAAGTAACTGGAAATTTAGACATAGTTCTGCCAGTTATTTTAATTAATTAAAAAAACCCTTTAATTGATAATTAATTTAGGTTGGGTTTAAATGATTTAAAATCCATTGCATTCTGCTTTTATATACATTCAGGCCACAGTCTTTTTGGAAACACATTTGCAGTAGTGCAGATGAGAAGGAGATTTTAAAAGTCTATAATCCATAGTTGTGTTTGACTAATTCTGTTTTTGCTGGGCTGTGAATGCTTGTGTGTGTGTGAGCAGGCCTCACAGCGACGCTGGATCCGCTTCCTTCCCTTCTGACTCGGAGACACGATCATCTCGTAGGTCCTCGTTTCTGTGGCGCGTCTTCTGGGTCGCACTGCCTCTCCAGCTCTTCCTGCTCCTGTTAGTGGTTTTTGCCTTTCTGCTGCCAATGTCTGAGGAGGACTACTGTGCTCAGTCCAACAACTTTGCTCATTCCTTCTACCCGATGCTGAGCTACACCAACGGACCGCCTCCAGTGTAGATGGACGTAAAAACCACTTCTGTTTAGTATTCTTGAGCCAGAATGACCTTAGTGGGATTCACGTTGATATCCTTGAAACGGTTAATCACGTTGGGAGTAAAAACAAATCCTGCTCGTCCATTTTTACTGCAGAATAACAGCTGCCATCTACAGTTAATATCTTTGTGTGTAGCACATAGGCTCAAGCATCTCACTATGTTACTCTGTGTAATGCTGTGTCAGTTAATTTGCATTTTTGGTGTAACGGATCTGGAGGTTTCTGCCCACAGTGGACATCTGCTGGATAAACGACGTGTCGACTCAGTGGTGTAAACATGACGTAACTTCTCTCAAGCCGATAGCACCAAAGTTAAACGCTGAAATATAGCCTGTGAATTTGCTTGTAACTAAAAGTTTGTAAACAGCAAAAACATTTAATATATCTTACATTGCAATTATTTTTTTACCTGTATTTTGGCATGCAGTTTTAATCTTTGCTTTTACTTACTTACTTCCATCGTTGTGTCTGTGGTAATCAGTCCATTTTTAACTTAAACCACATGGATTCATGCAAGAGTCATTTAAGCCAAGTCAAGTGAATTTAATATCCAAGTCAGACGCAACGCAGGAGTTTAACCTTAAACAGTCATCCATGGTCTTTATACATTCTGCTGTTTTATTTTTTCAAGATATGAAATATGTCTTTAAGATTGAGAAATATGACCAATAGAATTATTGCATATTTTGTAAGACTGTGAGTTCAGTATCAAATGTATAACAGTCGAGAGTTATTTAACATATGTATATAATGCAAAAAGAAATAATATGAGAAATGTATGTATATGCGACTCTCAAAAACAATGAATGCCAAACCTTCATTCTAAAAGTTGTCATTTTATTTGTGAGTTAGCATTTTTAATATTTCACCCTTTGTGCATCATACTTATATTGATCTTCCCATGAAAACACAAATATAAAAGAAAACTTTTAAATTGTTATTTTGTGTTTCAAAAGTAATTAATATCTCCACTATTTCTCAACATTTCAACTTATTTTTGGTATGAATGGAGTGAATAGATTTTAAGTTTCGTGAGATCTGCAGGTGGTAACATCCAGGTTGGAGCCATCGGATAGTTCTTGGACTTGTTGCAGGTGAGGTCTCTGGTGAGTAGAGCAGTGCCGGGGTATGTTAACATGGTGATGTAGGTGGTGACGGTGACAATGGCCATGAAGAAGGGTTTCAAGTAATTTGATGATTTCATAATTTGGAAGAGCCAACGCTGTGGCATCCAGGCCCAACGTTTGAGAAACCAGCATGCGGAAATCCACCAACTGAAAAAAGAAACTTACCTGGTTCAAAAGTTTTCAGAAATCTTGTGACCTTTCTTTTATTTATATTAACAAACAACATTAAATGAGCTCTATGACCGCTAACAAACATCTGCTGTGCAAGGTCATGAGATGTGGATGAAAGTATGGTAAACAAGTTTTCCTATTTGTCGTTTGTCTCTTACCTCTCTCTGCCTCTCAGACAGCTGAGCCAGGCTCTGTCTGAGGGCGAGGAGTTCCTGTAGGTCGTCTTTTGTCTTCTTCTCTTGGCTTTGCAGGTCTGAGCTAACTGTGCTCAGCTTTTTCTCCACCTTTGCCTTCTCATTCGCCACCAGATCCAGCTTCTTTTTCTGCTCCTGCATGGTCTGAGTCTGTTGCGCGACTTTCAGCTTGGCATTTTAGGCACAGCAGAGACTCGAGTGAGCGTCGGGTTTTAGTAAAACAAGAGTGACTTTATTTAATTATGTCAAATTATTAATCTAAGATACTCTGATACTTTGAAAGCATGCATTGATTGCATATGCATATGATTCAATGACCCACCAACCCATGCCCCAAAATTAACACAAATACACAAAACATTATGAAGTGAAAATCCCTCTGGAGTGAATTTGGGCCCAAACCCTTCTCCCCTCTACCTTGAGCTCGCTGGTATGGGAGAGCTGGGCCTTGAGCTCAGTGTTGGAAAGCTTGGTTGCTTTCAGTTCACTTTGAAGACGCTCCAGTTTTTTCTGCAGCCTCGCAGCCTGTAGTTGTGCATCATTTTGTTCCGCAGCCAATGCTGATCGGGTCCTCTTCTCCTCCTCCAGCTCTGAAACCTTTTTCCTCAGTAGTTGGATGTGGAGTCCTTTGCTCTCTATTTGTTCCTTCTGTGATTTCAACTACAGGGAATGGGAATATTTTAAATCAACTGTATACACTTTTTAAGCTGCATTTGTGCATTTAGAGGTGCTTGTTCAGCACCACTCTCCACTTGTATAAACTTGGGAATAATAAAAACAAAAAACAAACAAAAAAAAACTACCTTCCGTTGTAAGCTGTAAGTCAGACTTTTACTCTCAACTAAAGCAGTTCCCTCTTGTCTAACAAGTTGTTCGGCACGTGACAGAATGAATTTTAGCTTCATTTCGAAGTCAAGATCAATGTCAAAGTCCTCAACCTTCATCGTCTTGGACAGCTGCTCCAAGAATTCCTCATACTGTTAAAAAAAAAAAGAGAGAAATCATAGGAATGTGTCGCTATGCCAACCTGTATCTGTAACTTATATGCTTAGTCACATGACTTTTCTCACATCCTGTTTGCTGTGTTGCAATCGGTCACGATGCATGTCTGCTGTCAGCAGTTCGGCCTCCAGACATTGCAGTCTTCCCCTCAGGTCTTGGACTTGCTGCTCTGCAAGCTGAGCCCTCTGTTGTGCACTGTGATGAAGCTCTGTCTGCTCACTCAGCTTTTCAGAAACACAACGCAGCCTCATTTCCACCTCTGGCAAGCTCTGAAAGACCAGCATAGTGAAAATGTGTGGTAACATAAACTATTGTGTGCATACTCCTTTTTATCTTACAGCTGGACTAAGTCCTTGACAGATTGAACAGGAAGAGTTAACATAAAGATAAGAAGATATAAGAAGTAACTGCATCAATTGCTGTGCTTTGGAACTTATTCTTCTACTTTACAGAGTTATCAAGTTGATGTAGTTATTAGTCTGCAAATTAAAATAAAAAAAAATATTTAGCTGTATTGCAAGTATTGAGATTAGAGTGCTACCTGCATGCTTATTGGTAAAAAAAAATCAAACAGTATGTTTCATTTTACACAAGTAACTGATCATTCATGACATATAGCGATTAAGAAAAAGTAATCCTAATAACTAAAATACAATGTGATTTATAATTGTCAGCAAATGTGTTGTTTGGCTGGAGCCACATTTGTACCTTGGAGAACAAATTTAGCTTTAAAGCAGCTTTTAAGCATTTTTTGTTGGAAATCCCAACGTTCCTCACCTTATTGCAGAGGTTATCCAGTGTCTGTAGAACATCTCTCTCTGTGGGCAGGATGACGTCCTCACACTTCTTCTCCAGGAGGCCGACCAACTTTTCCAAGAATGCCTGCAGGTTGCCCTCAGCTTCTTGGGTCCTTCTTTCAAGCTCCTCCACCTGGTTCTCCAGACAGCGTGACTCTCGCCTGGCTGCCTCTATCACTCTCTTACTGGCCTCAAGTCTTTCAGTTAGGGTCTGCTTCTCCATCTCGACACTTCTTCTCCCAACAGCCAGACCATCAAGCTCCTAAATGACATACAAACACCACAGCAATAGGGCAATTTTAGCAGTTACTCCTAAAGTAATAAAATCTTTAAATTAACAATTTCATACAGAAATCAGTATTTTTTACACAACGCTACTAAATCTTTTAGTTCGTGGGTTAAGCCGTCCAGACATCTGAAATCTTGTACTGTAAAGTAACTACTCTTTTAAGTTGTGTATATACCACTTTGAGTGAATCAAGTGCTGCTACACTGCTTGCAGCCTTCCTCTTCTCTTGGTCCAGCTCTGCCACCAGCCTCAGCACCGTCTCTCTGCTGGCTTTGCACTCCACCTCACTGGACTTCACACTCTCTTCTAAAACAGCAACCCTCATCTTCAGCCTCTCCTTCTCATTGCACTGTTAATTACAGAGGTTGAAGAAAGGTACTAAATAGTTATTAAATGCTTTTTTTTTAAATCCATTTTTAAAAGTTGACAACATAGGAATCAATTTAGTTTTTTCCTCCACTATGACTGAATTCAGTAGACATTTAAAATATTTTAAGGCCTACCTCGTTAGAGTTTTCCATAACTCCAAATAAGAGAGGTGAGAAGTGAACTTTAAGTAGATGTTGCCTCTGTTTTAAGAAGTCTCCTGGCAACAGCAAACACAGGCTTAGTCAGAAGGGGGCGCTGTAGCTGAGCCTGTCAGGCATCATCTCGTTTATCAAGTTGGTGGAATTTTATTTTATTTTAGTTTAGTTTAGTTTAGTTTAGTTTAGTTTAGAAAAATTAATTTCTTAATTAATACAGTAGCATAAAAAAAATCCAAAGTCACGCTGAATGGGCAACTATGTGAAGGTCATTACATTAGCACCACATGAGCCCTGAGCTTAGACTGTCAGGTAGCCCTTCTGCTCAATCTCAGTATGAGCTTCACTTACCGGACATTTTCCACTCATAAACTGATCGAGTTCGTCTACATATAAACGACTGAGTATTTGTAAGGTACTTCCTGCTGTGTTTCGAAGTTTTAGTAAGTAATACAGTTCAGCTTAAAATGGAAACGCTCTACCTTCAAGTCAGAGCTGAGAGCATAATGTAACTACTTGTATTGCGTCACTTCGAGCAGGAAACAAGCGACGAGGAATAAACACGCCGCCTTTGAATGTATGCAAGACTGTAAACACTGAAGGTAGCTGGAATTTGTGAATTAATTTAACACCGTATTTTGTTTTTTCTAACCTGGTAAGCGAATAAAAAAAATAAAGTGAGTTGGAGAGCGGGGTGGGGTGGGCTGCTTTTAACCATGTAAAGCACTTTGTGCTACATTTTTTGTATGAAAAGTGCTTTATAAATAAAGATTGATTGATTGAATTGTCTGCGGCTGACATGTAAACAGAAGTTAGCTCCAGGCATGGAGCCGCAGTACTGCTGAATGTATTATCCTAATTAGTTTGTAGGATATACGAGTGTTTTGCTTGCTGATGCACTTTTGATTCCTGTTGTCTATACTTTAGATTTAACGTGTAACAATATAACTATACGTCCATTAGCTAAGTTGAGCTGGTTGATTAACATAGTTCTTTGCTTCCAGTCACCTAAAGGCACTTTCCTTTGGCTGCAGGTTATTTGTAGGTGAGTGTGAATGGAAGATGCTTCTCCGGACGTTGTGGTCCAGACTGGGAGCCCAGCTGCATGCAGGGAGCAGATCAGGCTGCGTTTTAACTTCGGCCAGGACTCACTGTGCTCCGTGGAGCTTTTCCAGGACCTGCCATTTAAACGCTATTAATCAGCAGCACGAGCAGAAAAGACATGTTTCTTTGCCTGCTTTGAGTGGGTGTAAAAGTCTTAGCAGTGGGTTTTTGACTGACCCTGGGAGACTTTCAAACTGTGCAAGAGGACAAAGAAGTTTGTATTCAACCAACCTCGTAAAGTCAGTGTTGAAACCAGGTTTGAAACCAGCCACAGTGCCTGGGAAAAGGGCACCCAAGGGACCACGGACGAAGCAGCCGTCCAGAGCCAACCAGCCTTCCCTCAGTGAAGACAAGGTGATTTACCCTTTAGTGTTGTGAAATGTTTTATTTAGCTGTGCCTGGTATTGTTTTATGTGTTGATTCAATTGTTTGTCTCCATAGGATATGTTGCAGTGCATTGCTTTTGCAACAGCAGATCAGTATCATTTGCCAACACTTTCTCACGACTTGATAAACCACGGCTTCCATGAGATAGATTTGCCCAGAGGTATGAGTGAAAAGGTCATACAGCTGTGCATTAGATTATTAGTGATGGCTTTCGTGATCGTCGTGTTTTATTTTCAGATGCCTCGAATGTTCTGGTGATAAGCACAGACATGGCTGCAAAACCAGATGACAATTCACAAATCTTCTTCTTCAGGTAATGCTGATGCGCTTTGGTTTAGACTTTGTCTCCAATGGTATTATTTTGTTGTAGAAAGGTCAGTTCTGTTCAAACATTGTCAAAAATATGGCTTAATTTCAGGATTATTGATATTTGGTTTGGTCAGTACTCGGTGATACAGGCGTACCTTGGTTTGCCTGTATGCCTATATCAGTAATCTATTTCTCAACATCAGATCCATACACAAATCTAAACATGCAATTGTTGAGATTGTTGATTGGATTCGGGTCTGGATTACACAAGGCTAATCAGTGGCGGTGGTGCCTTTTAAAATTGTTGATGCTCTTGCCACGTGAGGCCAGGACCCACTGCATTGTGTCTAAGCAGTCAGGGAGGGCTGTGAAGGTCTATGTAATCCTCCAAGGATATGCCTCCTCAGACAATCACTGACCTCCTGCTAAACCATTCATGCTGGATGTTGCATGCAGCATAACGTTCACCACAGCATCTCCAGACTCTTACCTGCCACATATGCTCTCATCTGTAAAGAGAATGGAGCACCACTGATGGACCTTTTGGTTTTGTTGATCTCTAGTGAATGCTATTCGATCTGCATGTTGCTGGTATGTGAACACAGGTTCCACTGATGGATGTCAGCCCCTCATGCCGCCCTCATGGAGTCTGTTTCTGACAGTTTGATCTAAAACATGCACGTGAGGTTTTGTAGGCCACCTCCCGTTCTTCCTCTCACAAAGGAGCAGATACTGGTCCTGCTGCTGTGGTATCTCCCTGTGGTATCTCCACCACACTCTTGAGATTGTGCTGAGAGACGCAAACTTTGTTGCCATGGCACGTGTGGATTTGCCATCCTGGGGGAGTTGGACTATTTGTGCAACCTGGCTGAGATGGTGATAGTGTCTCGTGTTACTAGTGGTATCAAGGACAAGGAGATAGCAACGGTCTGTGGCAACCATTCCCTTTTTGGGGGGTTGTCTTGTTGTTGTCTCCCCCTGCACCTGTTGTCCCTTTGATTTGCACCAGAGCAGATGAAACTGAGTCTTAATAGTTTATGCTTTCTAACTTACAGGTTGCTATCCCTGACGTTTAGCTGACTTTTTTTTGTTATACGCTGACAATCAAGCTTTCCTTTAACATTTTTCAGCAGTGTAGTTACTAATACTTCTTTAGTACAGCTGCTTTTTTCTTTGGCCCCAGAATGCCTGATCTCAGTCTAAAGTTTCTAAGTTTAAAAGTTGTTTTGTTCAGCTAGAGTTCTTGTTTAACTGCTTGCCTCATGATTACCTTGAACCGATAGTTTGTTTGTAACATGAGAGGAAGGGCTAAACACTGACTTGTCCCACTTTCAAAATTTTTAGAGAAGGCTCAGTAGTTTTCTGGAATGTCGAGGAGAAAACGGTAAGCAAACATCACCATTAATGCAGTTAATCTAATTTCCAGTTCACTTTTCTACTATACTTTTGTTAAACTCTGTAATTTCCCCTCGCTCTTTACAGATGAAAAACATTTTGAGAATCTTGGAACACCATGAGATCCAGCCTTATGAAGTAGCGTTAGTCCACTGGGAAAATGAGGAGATTAACTACACTGTGGGAGAGTACGATGAGCCTCATGCTTTGTTTTGTTAGTACTTTCAGACTCTGTAACGTTTCTAAACGGACACTTTTTTCCACCTCAGGGGAAATACAAAGCTTGAGCGTGGCAACTTTATTCTGAGTGACGATATGGATCAAGAGGAAGCTGTTTTGGAGAAATTTGCATTTTCAAATGCACTTTGTTTGTCTGGTGAGAAGCTGTATTTTCAGTCTGAATCATAAAAAATGTATTTGTTTCCTGTGAACGCTGCTAACTTTTTCCTCTTTGCTTTCTTTTCCAGTGAAGTTGGCAATATGGGAGGTAGCATTAGACAACTTTGTAGAGTCCATTCAATCAATTCCAGAGGTACAGTGGACGATTAACAGCAAGAATGAATAATTGATTATTTATAATGGTTGTTTGTGTGTTCGAAGATGCACGTGAGAGGTATTTTTCTAAAATGCTAATGCCAGCATGCTAATTTTTTTTCCTTTCCCACCCAGACACTCAAGTCTGGGAAAAGAGTCAAGTTGTCCTCTGCAGAGGTTATGCAGAAGATAGGAGAGCTTTTCACATTAAGGTAAATTCAGGAAAGTACAGCCTTTCTATTTTTGTATTCACTATTTATGAGCAAGTAATACACCGTGAGTTTTTTGTAATTATACATGTTATTTCTAAATGCATAAACTGCTGTTTGTTTGCTTTTCTAGTATTACCGTACTTTAGTATTTTTATTTACACTCTGCTTTGACAGACACTGTATAAACCTGAGGTCTGACCTCCTCCTCACGCCTGATTTTTACTGGGACAGAGAAAACCTAGAAAAACTCTACGATAAGACGTGCCAGTTCCTCAGCATCAACCGCAGAGTCAATGTAAAGGATAAACCATCACTTCTGGGTCTTTGTGTTAACACTCAATCATTTTTTTGCCCATGTAGCTTCATAATCCATCTCATTTTAGGTTGTGAATGAGAAGCTGGAACATTGCACGCAGCTGACAGACTTGATGAGGAGCCACCTGAGTGAGAAGCACAGCTTGAGGTTGGAATGGATGATAGTCATCCTGATTACGATTGAGGTAAAAGCGGTCAAGCAAGAAGCCTCAAAGAATGCAGCATTTTTTAAAACAAACCTTTATTCATGCTTTTAAAAAAAACAGGGAGATGTTTAATAATGAGTACATCTCATTTGTTTTTCTTGTAGGTTATGTTTGAACTTGCAAAAATGATCTTCTAAATTGCTGCTCTGAAGCTACAACAACTCTAAAAAGGGCACAAGCAGCTATGAAAGAAGAATGCTGCACTGTGCGAAGGCACTGAGTCGTGAAGGGGACCTAGATCACGCTGAATGTGTTTACTCTTCATGTGTTACATCAGCAACTTTCTGAAAACCATGAATTATTTTTAAATCAAGAATTTCACAAATTGTTACTGACGATCTTGGCTGCGGGCGGGAGCAGTATTTTACACACATTTGTTCTTTATTACTGTGAAAAAAACAAACAAAGAAAAATCAAAGTAGGCAAAAAAAGATTTTTAATCCTTTGTGATGATCTGACCTTTATGTTTTGGGACTTATTTTGTCTTTATGTTCTTAATTTTCTTTTTACGTCATGAGAAAGCATCTATGTTTTCTTGTCAGTGTCAAAGATGCATTTTAAAAAGGTCTTATTTGCATGGGAAGGCAGGGACTCCCACATCTTGACACTGATCTTGCAGCTGATTTAAAAAAGAAAGGGGGGGGGAAAAAGATGTAGAAATGCATCCAGATTTACTGAGTCCCAAACACCAACTGTAACTCTGTTATAAAAGTTGGGAATAAAGTATTTATGTTCAATATTTCCGTGTTTGGATGTTAACCATTATTAACAGATTTCTTTTCTTTTGCAGTAAACAAATAATTACTGAAGTACTTTTAATTTATATGTATTAATTTATTCAAATAAAATATTTTTTATTAATTAAACACTGGTAAATATATCAGAAAACATATAAATACACATAAATCAATATTAGTGACATCAGACAAGCAAGGATTGTCCATACCAGACAGTAATGGCAATGAGATTTCAAAGTAAAAGCATACAGCTAAGATAAATACCTTTTCACAAGCTTATTTCTCTCACTCTGTTGCAGTTTGATTACTGAGCCTCAGGCATCAAGCTTAGTGAGGAGGCTTGTTTCTGGCACTTAGATTTATTTTTTCCTGTCTCTAAGTCTAAATTTAGGGTTAGTATCTCAAATTTTGAGACAATCAAAATTTTCACTTTTTATTTTTTTCAGTGGTAGCAACAGCCTGTTAAAGAACAGGAGAACAGAAAAGTTTGAGTAAACATGGTTGCTTAAGGCACTGCTGATTAAAATTAGATTAACTGCGTATTTGATTAAGTTCAGCTTTAGATTAAACACTGTCACGCCTTGCTTCATGCCATGCTCTCACCATGTTCTAATTTTCGAACTGCTCACAGTAAAAATTCTAATCACTAAAATATTCATTATGTACAAGATCACGTATAATAATAATAATAATATATGTATATATGTATATATATCCTCAGTATGTTCAGGTCTGACTTTTTAAATCATGTGGCAACATGTATTTAAGTGAAATACTGATTGCAAATAAATGTGTTGTGGAAATATCTACATTTTGCTAATTTTTATAAAAAGGTGTTTCTATGTGCTGTAACTGGTAACATACATCATGATTTAATGTGGTCTGTGAATAACACCTGAACATTTTTTAAGCTTTTTACCATAAAAGGTGAAAAGATTCAACAAATATATTATGATATTCTTATTGACTTACTGACATATACATTCTATTCAAAAACTTAGGCATAATAATGTAGGAATTATAAATGGAGAGACCTGATATAATTAGCAATGAAGTTGCATTACATGACAAACAGGTAGTTAAATTTACTGAGGCCCCTGCGTGGTATAAGTAGCTCATTGTCACACTTCTAAAATCATTCAAAAATCACAATTCAAGCCCCCTGAGAAGATTAACCTTTTTTTTTCAATGCACACTTTCCAAAACACTCTCTTAAGTCATATACTGTATAATAATAAGATAATCTTAGCAATTAAGGCTAGTTTCGCTAATAAATATCAGAATATTTTGGTGCAACATAATGTGAAATAAAAGGCTTTGATGGCTTTATGAAGCTTTCTTCCTTTTACTTTTTGATTGTTCCACCTACAAAAAGAAATACAAAAAAGGGCATACGTTTAATTGAAATTGATTGTGAAAATATACAGAATAAGAGGTGGCTTACCACTCAGTAACACTTGAGCTGGGTTAGGTTAATCCCATTCTGCCTGAGTGACACGTGTTGTGATTACTGGGTACTCCAGGGCAACAGCAAAATCTTCACCTTCACTCTCAATTTCACCTATTCCTCCTGTTTTGTGCAATCTCTGATGATATTCCTCATCCTCACTCTTGGTATCAGGTGCCATTTCAAACTCAGATTCAGGATCTTCTTTTCCCTCATGTGCACTTCCCGCTTGAGGCTCCGTGGGTTCTTCCACTTTGATGTGGGATGCCCCCTTTTCCTCTTGGGTGTAAATGTCTTCCTCAGCATCCAGCCACACGTCATCATTTTCCTCCTCTATTTGTTTAATGGGCTCCTCTGCTGTTTTTTCTTTGCTACGAGCCTTGAAGACTGCAGGATGACTGATCAACAAGTCTCGTTTCTCTTTTTGCCTCACAGGTTCTGTCGTTTGTGTGGCCTGAATGTCTGGTATTATCGATTGCTTTGACTGAATTTGTTCCACTGGTTCTACTGTTTCTATTGTCTGGATGCTAACAGCCTGTAGTACTGGCTGTTTTGATATCATGGCTCTTTCAGTTAAATCTAATTTTTCTGCTGGCTCTGTGATTTGCTTCAGCGGTTTGGTGGTTTCTGCTGCCTGGATTTTGGAGATTATTGGTTCCTCTGATTCAGTTTGTTCTGCTGGTTGTGTTGTTTCCATTTCTTGGACAGCAATGTCCTGAAGTTTAGGCTGATGGGAGACCACAGCTTCTGATTCAGTAATTTCTGTTGTCTGAACAGCGACTTCCATTAGCTCCATTTGTTTCTCGCTCTCAGCTCTTTGCATTGCATTTATCAGGTTTGTAGGTTCCACTGCTTCTACTGCCTGAACAGCAACTTCGGACACATTAAGCTGTTTCACAGGTTCTGCAGGAGGAGGTGGGGATGCTGGTGCCTTTAGCTGCCCAAACTGTATGTTAAGTTTGAATTCTAAGGACAGGCTTGAAGGAGACTCTACATTACCTATTGACGAGATCATACCCGTGTTCTGGGGGGCTACTAATAATGTGTTATTTGGTGTAACAATCTGGCTTTGTGTACTTTGTAGGTTTTGTGCTTCTGTGGTGGTATCGCCATCTTTCTTCTTAGCTAATTCTTCAGATGTTGCATCCTCCGCTGTCACACATACCTCTGATTTTTGCAGCTCAGCTTGAGTTTCTTCCAGATCCTCTGTGTGATCATGGGTAGAGATATATAAACCTAAATCAGAAATTCGCAATTGATCCTCAGACTCTTTCTGCTCAGCTGGGATCCCATGTCCTTCATCCTCTTCTTCTATGAGCTCCCCAGAACTGTCCTTCATCATTTTTTCATCCTCTGGTTCACTTGGTGCACTTTGAACTGTCTCGCTAACATCTGGTTGTTTTATAACTTCTTGTTCCAACTTATGTGGCACAGATTCAGGAGTGGGCTCTGGTAAATTCCCCTTTACATATTGAATAACTTCTTGAACGGTTAGATTGTTTTCCTCGTTATTCACTTCCTCTTCGATTGCAGTAGAGGCAGATAGGTTTTCTACTTTTCCAAGAGTTTCATAACAAACATCAATAACTTCTTTGGCTTCTGTAACCCCTACCTCAAGCATTGTGTTGACGATATTCTCTGCTGAATTGATATCAACATCCACCACTTGCACTTGGAATCTGTGATTGTCGTCAAACTCTAGTGATGGAACATGCATCATAACAACCACACTGCCTCCTTCTGCTGTGTTAATGACATTGTTCTTCTCTAATGGTGTTGTGGTCTCAAAAGTGTCCTTTATCTCCATCTCACTTGCTTTTCTTTCTATCAAGTGTTCTCGAATCTCAGTTGTTTCCTCAATTGAAACATCAGGTATTACTGCTGAAACATCTTTTAGATTACATGTTATTACTTGCATCACTACAGCGTGCTCAGTGGCAGCAGTGATTACCTCAGTGCCTTGAAGTTCACCAGCTTTTTCTCCCTCAACACTTACTTGGGCTGTACTAACATCCTCGTCATATTTGGGTTCTTCTGAAGCTTCAGCACTGTCAACACAAGTCTCATAATGGACCTGATCATTACTTACTTGTTCTTCTTCTTGTTCTGCAGAAGGCACATAAGCAGCTGGTAGTGTTTCTTCCAAAGCTTCACCTTTTCTATCTTCGTGTTCAGCTTGATCATTTTGTGGAATGCTTTCGGTTTTCTGATCTTTGTTTATTTCTAAATCCTGGTCTGGTTGTTTTTTCTCAGTTTCATCTGTAATGCTGTCAGTGTCTGGTTTCGGAACATCTTCTAGCAGTGCTTCAGTTTCAAGCTCCTGAGTGCTAAACACCTCAACACTTGATGCAATTGCATTTGCAGACTTGGATGCTTCACGGTCAGTTGCAGGAACATTGTCTTCTGCATCAGGCAGTGATGCTTCTGGTTCCATTAGGTCAACTGCTTTCTGCTTGGGTTCACCTGTAACTGTTTCCATTGCCCCCATATCCTTGGATATCACCTCATCTTCAGTTCCTTGAGGTTGACCTTCCTCTGAATCTAATGTGACGGCTTGTACCACTTGTAACACTGCTGGTTCTTGAACATCCTTGGTTATGGAATCATCCACTGCTTCACCTTTATCTTCAGTGATTGGTAACATTTTAGCCTCTTGGGGCTGATCTTTTTCTGCAGGTGGAACATCCTCTGATATTACTTCTTTCTCCCATGACTGACCACTCCCCTCTTCTAAATCTAATGTGGCTGCTTGTACAGCTTCTACTTTTTCTGGAACTTCAGGCTGCGATTCTTTGTTTTGAATCTCATCGGTCACTTCAGTGTGATGTTGTGTTGTCTGTTTGTTTTCATCTGTTACTGGTTGAGAAGACTGATTGTGCTCTGAAGGTTGTATTTCTGTTTGAACACTATCTTCTTTTGAATGCAATGATGTGGCTTGAAGAAGTTTTGGTACCTCTGGAACTTTGGAAACTTCAGGCTGTGGTTCTTTTTTTTTAATCTCATCAGTCACTTCAATGAGATTCTCTGCTAACTCTTTACATTCACCTGTTATTAGTTCAGCAGACTGAATATCCTCTGAAGGTTGTATTTCTGTTCGAACACTGTCCTCTTTTGATTCCAATGTTGTGGCTTGAACACCTTCTGACACCTCTGTAACTTCGGAAACCTCGGGCTGTGGCTCTTTAGTTTCTGGCTCATTAGAAACTTCACCTTCAGTGAGATGCTCTGATGTCTGTTTGGATTCATCTATTACTGGTTCAGCAGCCTGAATGTCCTGCGAGGGTTGTATTTCTTCTTGAATGTTGTCCTCTTTTGATTCTAATGTTATGGCTTCAACATCTTCTGGCACCTCTGTAACTTCAGAAACTTCAGACTGTGGCTCTTTAGTTTCTGGCTCATCGTTCACTTCAATGAGATGTTTCCCTGTATGTTTGGATTCATCTGTTACTGGTTCAGCAGACTGAATGTCCTGTGAGCGCTGTATTTCTTCTTGAATACTATCCCCTTCTGATTGTAATGCTGTGGCTTGAATACCTTCTGGCACTTCTGTAACTTCAAAAATTTCAGACTGTGTCTCTTTAGTTTCTGGCTCAATGGAAACTTCATCTTCAGTGAGATGCTCTCCTATCGGTTTGGATTCATCTATACTTTCTGCTGGTGGAACATCTTCTGAGGCCAGTGCTTCTTCTGCAGGTGATTGAACTTTATCCTCTTCTGCAGTTGCTGTGGCTTTTTGCTCAACTTCCACTGCATCTTTCACTTCGTCATCCTCTGTTTTAGGAGCTTCAGCCTGTGTTTGTCTATCTTCTGGCTCAACAGTCACTTCAGCAAGATGCTCTGTCTGCTTGGAATCGTCTGTAACTATTTCTGTTGGTGGTATGTCATCTAAGTGTGGTGCTTCGTCTTCAAGTGACTGAACAGTATCCTCTTCTGAAGCTTTTACATCTTTTTCTACATTTGCCAGTGCTTCCAACTCATCCACCACCACAGAAGGTTCAGCTTCAATTTGACTTTGCTCAGTAATATTTTGATTGATTTGATCCCCCATGGAGCATGAACTTTGGGCTTCCTGCTCGATGCTTCCATCTTTAGTTTCATCAGCCACAAAAAGAGCTGACTCTGCTTCTTGAGTCTCAGTTTTTGAGGTATCTTCTTCTACTTGCTCTGCCACAACTAGAGAACCTTTATCTGGAGCAACTTCATCACTTTCAGGTAATGTCTCCTGAGGTAACTCTTCCTTTTCTTCAGAAATGCATTCTGGCACATTTTGGCTGTCATCAGTAACTTCTAATTCTTTAATGCTTTCTTGCACCTGTGTAACACTGACCTCATGAACTTCATCTTCAGTGACTTCTGCATTGTCAATCTTCTCAGATACAATCTCTGTTGAAACAGCTTTGTTAACATCAGGTATGCTCTCTGCTTGGGCTGTTGCCTCAAGTTCATTAATTGCATCAATTGGTTCAGCATTTAGCTCTGCGTTTACCACTGTTTCATCTGATCCTTTGTGTATTTCCAGGATTTCCGGCTGTTCTTTTTCAAATGTTTCAAGTAATTGAGGCGTGACAGAACTAACTATTCTTTCTGAACTTGGCTCCTCTAAAGTCACTGGGACTACATGCGTACTTACAGAGATGGTTTCAGCAACTTGTTCTAGCAACAACTCTGTGTTGTTGACACTGTATTCAGCTGGGACAGGTGTTGCGTTACCAGATGTTTTTGAAGAGTCTGATAACTGGGAAACTGCAGAGATCATCTCAGTTTCATCATCTGTCACAGTAACATCAACAGGCTCTGGAGCTGTTATGGCTTCAGATGTAATCTCTACCAGGTCCTCTGCTATAGTGTCATCTCTTGCTGCTTCCTCAATGCCTGAAGCCGGAGTGGCCATGGTCTCTGTAAGTACTCCCTCCTCTGGAATATCACTGAGTTGTTGGTGTTTACTGATTGATTCTGTAAGGTCATCTGGTTCTTCAACTGGAGCAGGTGTAGCCAGTGTTTTAGGAACCTCATTTTCTAAAGCTTCCTCATTGTCTTGGGACGTTTGTGTTTCGAGTGGAAGACTATCACAAGGTGGAGTGGAGTCCTGCTGGACTTCATTGTCTGTTACTTCTGGTATGTAACTTTCTACATCTGCCTTGATTTCTCCCATTTCATCTGCAAACTCTGACAGTGGAATCACAGCTGGAGTCTCAGAGTCTTCATCACCTGAAGCTTCCTTGTCAGCTTCATCTAAAGATACTTGTTCTAGCGTTTCAGCAGGCTTTCTCTTTTTTCTTCCAGGTAGGAGATTCTTAATAGAAAACGTGGATTCAGCTTGAGTAACTTCATTGTCAGAAGGAATGATATCTTTGCTTTCATCCAGATCCTTGGCTTTTGTTTTGGGGGTGACAAGTTTTTTAAATGATTTCCATGTTGACTCCCCATCACTCTCTGGAGGACTTCCTTCTTTAATTTCTTGGGCCTCATTAGATCTTTCTAGTGGTGATTCTGCACCTTGTTTAAGTCCACTGTCTTGCTTGCTATTTGGGGGTGTTTCTTCTTCTGAGTCTGATGATTTTCGGCTTTTTCTCCTTCCAGATCCACACAAAACAGCTTCCCATGACACAGATGAGTCTTTCCTTTTTTTTCCTTCTTCTGTGCTGTGATCTGATATTTCCCCACCTTCACTTGGTTTAGCCTCATCTACTGAACCTGAGATTTGTGCCTGTTCATTGCTCAATGAAGGCGTCTTGTTACGTTTTTTTGGAGTCAGAAGTTTTTTGAAGGCTACCCATGCACTGTCCTCTTCTTCTGCTGCCGGTGCAGAGGGTTGTGCAGGACTTTCGTCTTTCTGATTTTCAGCTGACTCTGTTGAAGACAGCAGCTGATCAGAGACTTGTTCTTGCGAGTCAGTGATCTTTGTGTCACTTGATTTCTTTGCTTTCTGTTTTTTGGAAAGACTCCTGAAACTAGAGCCTGACATTAGCTTCTTCAGTGGACTCGCCTGAACTTTTTCTTTTTCTTGAGAGTTTAGTATTTCACCCTCACCATCTGATCTCTTCGTGGAAGGTAGTTTAACATCATCCTGAGTGGTTACTGCAGGCACGATCTTAGCTTCTCCAAGTCCTTTCTCAGTTGTAGCTGCCTCAGTATCAAGAGTAATCTCCTCCTTATCCTGCTCTTCCACTGCTTGCTCTGCTATTTCAGCAATCTTGTTTTCACCCATATCCACCAGTTCTTTCTCGGTCACCTCATCTTCTGCAAGTTTCTTTTTCTTCCGTAGACTAGAAAAGATTCCTGTGGTAAAAAACCTTTTTAATGGAGATTCAACCACTTTTTCTTCAGTAATCATTGGTGATGCTGGATGCAGTTCCTGTGTGGTATCCTGGTGTCCATCTTCATTTACAGCAGGTGAAGTTGTTCTTGCATCATCATTATCACGCTCAGCTTCCTCTTTGGTTTCTGTTTTCTTTATGTCTGCATTTTCTGGAATATTCTCTGATGTACCATCTGTCAGACTGGGACATACTGTTGAATCATATTCATTTGCTTCCTGTGCTGTGTTTAGATCCACACTCTGTTCCTCATTTTCACTTTTGACCTCTTGTGCATTATCTTTGACCTCCTCTGGTATGTTTGGTACTTCCTCAGGCACATCTGTTTCAGCCTCTTCACCAGAGCCTTTTTTAACTGTCAATTTCAAACCAATGTTGCTGAAAAAATTTCTAAAACTTTCATTGATGTCATTTTGCTTCTCTTCCATTTCGATAATTTCTACTTTTTCAACTTCATTTGCATCAGCTTCATCTGGTGATGTCTTTGCATTGATGTCAACACTTTCCACTGGAGTTTTTTCTTCTTTAGGGGACTTTTCTGTCTTTGCAACATCTTTGTCTGAGGAAAGGATAGTTAAATCAACAATTAAATTAATCATTAAAATACTTTTGATTGCAAGAAGTTGCAATAAAATTGGCCTAGTGTGCTAACAGATTCTTTCACCTAGAACCCAACAACTTGCGCTTCTGTTGTAACCATGCTGGCAGAAATACACAAATTATGAATACCCACCCTCTGCAGAAATCTCGTCTTTGCAGAGACCATTGAGTGCTGCTATAGAGCCGTCTGCTTTTCCATTTATCTCAGAGATCTGCCCATTGGTTTTGAGAGGCTGAAAAAAAGCACAAAACTGAATGTACAATAAATCTCTGCTCATGTGTGCGTGGCACGAAAAAAATTTAACAAGTCTAGTTTGAACCTCTGAAGAATTTTCATCTGTAATTAACAGGGATGCCAAAGACCTATAGAAACAGTATAGACCAGTTACTATTGGCTAGGTTTTGTGGCAGCCTTAGAGTCAACGCTCCTAATTTTTCCAATCCTAAATCCATGAGTCAGATTAGTTGGGAATGTCTGAGCAGGGTTTAGGGAATAAGAAACTTAACTGCACCCAATAGTGTGCAGAACAAAAACCTAAATAAACAACTGTAAATACATCAGACAGTGATATTATTTGCAAGTTAAGCTTTTTTTCCCCCAACTTTTTAAACCAATTTATTAGATGTACAGAGTTTTGCTTATCTTTTTACTTATGTTATTATGTTGCCCTAAGTGCTTTATCTAATTTAAACTGAATTTAAACTGACTATCCGAGCTCTCCAAGAGCCCGAAAATAATAACAACAGAAGGCAAAACAACCTAGTTTTAGATAGTTAAAGGCCATAATCATCATCATCTCCCATTATCACAATTTAAATACAACTTATTGGTATTAGTGTTTTTTCTTTCTTTTTAACACCCCACTTCAGAATCAGAATCAGAATACTTTATTAATCTCGAAGGAAATTAGGTTTATTCCATGCTTAAGCACATGATTTCTTCCAGCAGTGTCATATCTCCACCTTAATAACAATCAGCATGGTCTAATATATCATCAAATCAACACAACATCGCCAAGAAAAAGCATCAATTTCTCTACTGATTCTTACAGGACAGTGCTAATTGACATCCTCATCGGCATGAGCTGTTATAATGTTGTACACTAATAATCAATGTTTTTTCTGCTTAGTCCAGCAGGAGGGAAATTCCATCTCTCCCATGGGCTTTATTTGGTTCACTCCAAGAATGAAAGGTCATCATTCCTCCATGCTGTTTCCTCTTTCATCTACAGTAAATGAAAACCTCTGCACCATCAATGAAATAGTGAAAAACGACTATTCAGAAGAGTAATACTATGTAAGTTATCAGGTAGCGTCAAGAACCAAAAGCCAGCAGTCAAGGGCCATTATATTTGCTCACAATTTCAACATGAGGCACTGCACACAATACATTTAACAACTTAAAGACAACAACAACTTTTACAGTAAATGGTTTAAGTTTTGTGTTGTAAGACTCAGGCTATGATTTACTATTATTATTCTTTTTCACATTTTGCAAATCTTGCTGTATAAGGAAAATGGGGCCAAAAAGAGTTTCAGTCAATGTGGGACATATATACATATGAAATGCATCACATATAAGACTGTTTTTCCCTTTCATTTCATCTTTGTCTTTATGTCTAAGGAGAAATGACACTAGGCTGTTGTGCACCCAGCACAATATATAAATCAATCAATAATGCTTCCTGTTACAGAAAAGCTTAAAAATAATCACATTGCTCGCCAGTGTCCCAGTATTGCTGGATGCACTCATCCGCTTTGAAGGGACAAGGACTTTTCCTTTTATTCTGACGTTAATTGATGTGTTGGCATGCAGCGTGTGCACCGTCCCGACAACAACAACAAAATCCAGCCTCAGCATTTTTTAATCTTTCAAAGCGCCTACTGTTTGTTCTCTGTCACTATAATGAATCAAATGAAAACCACTGATTGGTAAAGAGGACAGGCTAAATCATTGTTGCAAAGTTAATACAGCTATAAAGGAATAATTTGGGTCTCTTGGGATATGTTACCTTGTCTTCAGTATCCTGCACAATTTGAACATCATTCACTTTTGCGCTCTCCTCCTCCTCTGCATCCTTCTTGCCCGCACGTTGCGCAGACTGAGTGTCTCCCATTATCTGAACTGCAGCGCGTCGCTATCCGGAATGAGCCACACAAGTGAAACGGATATCCCACAAGAAAAACAGGCCGGTAGCTCAGCTGAGCCACGGAAGGCGGTCAGCTCTCAAATGGTGTAGTCTGGATGCTGGAAAAACTCTTTCCTCTTAGATTAACGCCTCCCTGCAGAATCACATGAAGCCATATGAGCCAGCTGACCCGGCCCGGCTCGGCCCGCCTCTCTCTGCATTGAAAAAAAAAAAAAGAACTGCAGAGAAAACAGCCTGCTCTCAGATTACTGAAGACAATGTCCCAGCAACAAGCATAAACCTGCACTGGTGAGGATGCACTAGCCCGCGGATGCACTGAACAACGAGTGGCTATGTTAAAGATTTAAATGATATTTTCATCGGAAACAGATGCTGCAAATGCATGCCGCATTAAATAAGAAAGTCTGTTGCTGTTTAACACTTTGGTTATTCGGAAAGTGGATTTTATAACTAGTTTTATTATATAAAAAAACAACAAACAAAAAACAAACAAAACAAAACCTAAGAATTTTGAAACCAGGAATGTTCTTTAAAAAAACAAACAAAAAAACCCCAAGTATTTAAATCTTTATAGAAATGGTTAACAGTTAAAAATAGTTAAAATTAACTACTGGCTGGCTATTATATATATAATAGTTATAGTATTCCTCCAATTACCTAATTGCCTAAATTAGTAAAATTACCTGTACAATGAAAAGAATACATGTTGAACAAGTTTGCGATCATTTTATGTATCAAAAACGTAGGGCACATTCAGTCTGACAAATAAGCAGACAGGTTTCATTATAACAAATGTCATGTTATAATGAAATGCCATGAGAGTCAAAAGTGGTTTATGAAGTTGCGGCTGGACATTGTGGGTCAGTGTCTGGGGAAAATGTCTCAACCTCTTGAACTGCCTGTTGATAAAGTTGCCATCAGCTGCCCTGCAATCACCTTGAATCAAGGTGATTCAAAGCACTTTGAATCACCTTGTTGTTGAATTGTGAGTTTGGGATTGGGAGATGCTTTTTGGACAGCATGTTAAATCCTACATCCTTATCATTAGAACAATCCTCTTTATGTATAACATTTTTTAAATTAATTTATATTAAGTGGGAAGTGTTCTGGGGAAAACAAATGTATGTCTTAATAACTTATTTAATAACATTAAAATGGGCAGCTGTACTACTAAAACATCTTTTAGAGAATGGGAAGAAGTGGACATTTAAATAGCAAATTGCCAGCCTTATATAAACACAGTCTATATAAAATGCTGCATGCTAATGCTAAAAAAACCCCCCCAAATATATTAACATGATTGTTAGCATGACCAGATATTAAAACTTCAACCCATTATTACTGTTAATAAGTCAGAATCTTAAAAACAGTAAAATTGAGTAGAGTTCCCCACTTTGAAGACTGCATGGACAAATCGTTCAACAATTATACGACATTTCTCCAAAAAACAAACAAAAAAAAAGGCATAACAAAGCAAATCTACTTTAAAACTGCTTTCATATTGAGGTTAATTACTGTTCACTCCACAGGGCCTACGTTACACTCACCAGCCACTTTATTAGGAACACATGTCAATTGCTTGTAAAATGAAATATTTATCAGCCAATCAATGTAGGCCTGATCAAGATGACCTGCTGAAGCATCAAAATGGGGGAAGAAAGGTATTTTAAGCAAATCTGAATGTGGCGTGTTTCTTGGTACTAACTGGCTAGTCTGAATATTTCAGAAACTGCTGATCTGCTCAGATTTTCCTGTACAACTATCTTGAGGGTTTAAAGAGAATGGTCTAAAAATAGAAAATATCCAGTGAATGTCAGTTCTCTGAGTGAAAATGCCTTGTTGATGCTATAGGTCAGAGAAGTACTGATAGGGAGACAAATAACCACTCATTGCAACTATAGTATGCATAAGAGCATCTCTGAATGCACATGTCATTCTGAGGGTTTCTTTTTTGGTATTTAGTGTTGATCAACTAATCTGTTACCAGTCCAACACAAACAATATTTCATAACAGCATAGAGCGTATAGAAATGATCAAATATTTTAAAGCTGGCAAAAAAGTTTTCTTGAAAATGAAAATCAGCTGACTTGTCAAATGTACCTCTCGAGCAAAACAGACTTAATTTGATTTGGTGTTTAAACTGAGGCGTGTGGGCAGAATATCATGAGCAGGGCAGACAAACACACAACAGTCTGCCTAAAATACAAGATTCGTTTTAGAAAAGGCTGCTTCAAAAGCTTGACCCCTTGCAGTCTGACTTCCGACTGTGAAAAAAATAAAAGATAAACTAATAATGTGTTTATCTGTTAAGCTGCATTTCTTTCATTAAAGCGTTTCGCGGAAACTTATTTTATGAGCACTAGCACTGCAGTGTTTGGGCTTACATGATAATGCCAGTTCAGGCAAGATAATGTGGTAGATGATTTTTTTGTTTGTTTAGTTTAGTTTTTGTTTTTGTTCAGTATTGCACATATGCTTTATGATGGTCATGGCAATTTTTTACTTAGATGCCAAAGTAATGAGTAAGGCCAAACTCAGGATTTTAGGCAACTATAAATAAAACACATCCTAATCACTTCTCACTTTCTTAGGAACACCTGTAAATATCTAAGCAGCCAGTCACATAGCCAACACCAACTCCGTGTATTTAGGCATGTAGACATGGTCACAATGACCTGCTGTAGTTCAAACTGGGCATCAGAAAAAGGACAAATGTGATTTAAATGACTGTGGTTGATGGTGCCAGACAGACTGGTCTGAGTATTTCAGAAACTGAAATAATCTTCTGCTTTCCCACAAAAGCAGAATGGGTCCAAAAAAGAGAAACTATCCAATGAGCAGCAGTTCTCTTGGAGAAAATGTCATGTTGATTAGAGATGTCAGAGAAGACTGAACAGACTGCTTTAAGCTGATAGAAAGGCAGCTTAAAGCAAATAACCAGTCGTAACAACCAAGGTATCCAGAAGAGCATCTGGGAATCACAACAAACCCTGAAGCAGATGGTCTACAGCAGCAGAAGACCACACCAGGTGCCACTCTTGTCACCCTAGAACAGGATAGATTCATCCTATTTTGTGTCAACATTTCAGACTATAATGATGTGGGGTTCATTTTCTGGGCACACTTTGAGCCCCTTAGTACCAAACGAGGACTGTTTAAACACCACAGTCTACCTAAATATTGTTGCAGATTATGTCCATCCCTTTATGACCACAGTGTACCCTTCTTCAGAGAGCTGATTCCTGCTGGATAACACACCATGTCACAACACTCAGATCACCAAAAGCTGCTTTTTTGAACGTGACACTGAGTTCGGTGCACTTAAGTGGCCTCCACAGTCACCAGATCGCAATCCAATAGAGCAGCTTTGGGATGTTGTAAGATTGCATCAAGGATGTAAGACTGTGTGATGCTATCATCTTGTTGATTTTGTGCCACAAAGACTTAAGGCCTTTCTGAAGGCAAAAGCAAGTCTAACCTAATGTTAGCAAGCTGTGTCTAATAAAGTGTCTGGTCAACATATATAGGAAGGTCTTCAGAAAAGCTGTAGTAGCCTTTGTTATACACTGTTATACACTTCACTCATTCAGGATTTCAATTTATTTTCTCACCAACCTGTAGTGTATGTGTTGAGCTGCTGAGCAGCTCTTGTTGGAGATGCAGCATTGCTCACTTAAAACAAAACATGTTTGTAAGTGCAATATAGCATATAGCATAGGTATAATTGTTCCTGCCAGAAACTGCAGACATAAAACAAGATGAAAATTATTAGCTAATGCAAAAATAGATTTCAAGACACAGAGCATGCTAAAGGGGAATGAGGCCTTAGAGGAACCAGCTGAGTCACTTACACCTATAACAAGTGCATTAAATAATATATTCCAGCTCTAAACGGTTTGCTTATTTTGACTGAGGTGAGGTTTTATTGTTGTGGGACTTTAAACAGATTAGTCTCAGCCAATGCTGGAGATAGGAAGAAAAAAACCCTCCCTTGTTTACCCCACATTTTAACTTTCATAAAAAGATTAAACTTGTTAATGCTCTTCTGAAAAAGAATTAGGACCAGACTGATTGGTCTGATTGGCCTACTGGACACTGAATCTCTCTGCTATTATTTGTTGTGGACTGACCTTTGTTACTGCCCATGCTGGACAGAAGACCTGGTTTAACACTGCTGTTGGCAAACAGTCCCGGCTGCATAGTTGTCCATCAGTTTCAAGATAATTTCAGCAAAACAATCCATCTTCAGTATTTACAGTTTATAATTGGTTCTCTAATGTTTTTACATTTTATTTAGAACTTTCCTTTCATAATTTCTTATTATGACATGGTATCATAAATCATTGTTTTTGTCTCTAGCTGATTATTTTAGGAAAATCCCATCATTTGTATCTATGTTTTTTTTTGACCAGCTCCAATTTTATTGTTATTAAATTTGTATCAATTTGGAAAGAAAACATCTTCATTCACAACAATGAAGTGAGATTTTTCCTCTTGCAAAGCTTTTTGATTATTAAACATATGCTCTAAATCTTCCTTTAAACTTCTAAACCTAAAAGGCATTAAATATGTGCACTAATTGTGCTTCATATTGTAATAGAAGCAGTGACGTCCTCTCTTCACCTCAGTGAAAAAGCAGTATGATATGTCACCAAGGTGGATAAAATGAGACCTTGGGAAATCTTAGAGCAGAGAAACTTCTGCAAACCCATGACGGGCATTCATGTTGATTTGATCAGACGCTTTGAGACACTGGTGCTCTTATGTGAACCTTAGTACAAAGTTAATAAGTTCACTTAATTAGAGTCACAACTTTGGCTAAGTGAAAACAGCTGATGTTTTCTCCACTGATTACAGCAGCCTAGCTGTTGAGGCCTAATGCTACATAATGTAATAAAAGTGCAGGGGGTCTCTGTGAGTCAGCTTGCATGTGTGTACATGTCCTCTTCATCTACCTGTGCATTTTGTGCTATCATAAAGGACTATGTATAAAATTCAGACCTAACAGATGACTAAATTTTTTATGTCTGAACGAAATTTATTGCACTGTATTAAAAAAAGTTTTAACACAGCTAATTTTTTTTTTTTTTTATCTTTGCACTGCACAGTTGCACCGTATATGTTACAGAACTGCAGAAAATGTGATTAACTGTAAATCAGTATACTATAAACATGGCTGCAGCTTGATTTTGGGGAAAACACACACAGACAGCAACCGTAATATATTGCATTAAGCATGTTGTTCAACAGAGGTAATCATCTTATCACAGTTAGTAAATATTTGATTAATTTGACACCAATTTTGTACTTTAAATAGGAATTTCAGATATATTTTAAGACTGTTATAGTTACTGGATCTTATCAGGAAAACCTAGAATTTAGAAGGCACTTTTTTATGCTCTGACCCAATACATTGCGATCCCGTTATGTAACAAAACGTTCTGTAGGTAAAACTCACTTTTCCATTTAAAAAAAAGGGAAATTTGCAGAGGAACGTGGCAACGTGTTACAGTGTTATGGTTTGTTCAACTGTCCAAGTGCACAAAGTAGACCTTTGTCATTGAGTTTAGCAGATTTGCAGCTTTTCATTAAGAATAAGAAGTCTTGGCTAGTTCACAATGAACAGTTTCCCAGTGTTTCTTTAACTGAGCCTGGTTGGTCTGGACCTTTGAGAAACAGTGCAGAGAGTGTCAAAGTTAGAGTCTGATGTTAAGAGTTAGTTTGCTGATCACATGCCCAGATCACAACTTGTGACCAGGGAAATGTACATGTGAATCTCATGCAACATGGTTTATTGATTAGTAGCTGCTTAAATTAGAACCAGCTGACTGAAAAAACAGATTACATGAATTTAACTGGAACTTTCAATTTGTATTTTCTTTTTTTTCTTTTTTTTTCCTTTTTCCCCCCTTCTTTTTGTTTTTTAGCTGCATCTGGTGCTGGAAATAAGTTAAACACTGCAATCTATAAAAAGCCCGAACATCTTTGGGAAAATATCTAAAAATAAAAACTGTCCACAAAAATAAAGATCCATAAGTCTAATACGCATGCTTTTTAATCGTATGTGATGTTTCCTAATATCACCATCTGTCTCAAAAGGTAATAACAGAAATTTGTTAAAACAATAATGTAAGCTGCATATGTTTACATCTGACTTGGAGAAGTATAAAGCTTAGTCTTTAGTTAATTGCTCGTCTTGTGCTGGTTGTGTGTATGTGTTTGTTTGTTTTTGTGTTTTTTGGAAACTTAATGAGCTTTGCTGGAGCAGATTAAAGTACTGTTGTATCTGTGGCCCTGAGACCTGATTGTTTTATCACTGACATCTGCTGGATATAATAAATACTTCAACATATTGCATAGACTTTGAGACATGTTGCAGAGACAATGTGGCAAAAGTGAATCTCTGGCAGAAGTTCACCTCTAATTGACATGTTTTTCCTTTGGTGTACATCATTCTTTGTACATACTTGACCCAAAAGAAACGTGCAGCTCAGCCATCACTGTTTATACCACAGTGTCACCAATACTAGCCTGTCCTCAGGCGCAGGGGGAAGAGTTCAATAGAAATAAAAGTAGTTCCTACATGAAACTGCCCTCAAGGTTTCTAGAAAGAGATATTGCAGCTGGGTTTTCAGATCTTTTTTTTTGTTTTTTGTTTTTTTTTTTTTAGCTTTGAGCACCACCAAGTTAAGTGCCATTAGTATCACATTCAGTATTAGACATCTCTCAAGGTTAGAAATCCAAAACAGAAAAATGTGTAAGAAGAAATGTGTTTCATGGGTGAAGTCGCCTTTTAAGTACAAACACAAGATATAAAAAAAGAACTTATTGTTATGCAGAAAAAACAAATTTAAAAAAGTCAATACTTTATTTATTCCTTTTCCAGAGGGTTCCCAAGGTATTCCCAAGCTAGACAAGATTCTCTTCCCAGGTGGGCTTGCCTGGAGCACCTGCAAAGGAAGGCCTCCAGGAGGCATCCAAACCACCTCAAAGTGGCTCGTTTTAAGATGCAAGATCAGCGGCTCTACCTCGAGATCCCTCCGGATGTCTGAGCAGCCAGTGGGTCTCAGGATTTATTCCAGGGGTTCTGTGATGGTTAAAGGGGGAGTAAAGCGGGCCAGAAAAATGTCACAAAAAAGCATAGGTCTCCAAGTCTCCGTAACACTGCTGAAGAGACTGTTATTCTTATGATAAATAATACAATTTCAGAAAAATTTTCATAATAATAATACATTTTATTTAAAAGCACCTTTCAAGACACCCAAGGACACTTAACAACAGAATAAAACACATAATAGAACAATTACAATGAAGAACAATAAAAGCAAAAAGCACAAGATAAAATAAACAAACAATAAATTCACAGTGAATATGCAGATTTGAACAGATGGGTTTTGAGTTGATTTAAACTGGCGGGGGGGGGGACACCAATGTTTCTAATATCTGGGGGTGAGAGTTCCACAGCCTGGGAGCAGAGCAGCTGAAAGCTCTGCTTCCTGTGATGGTGTGGCAGAAAGAAGGCACAGTAAGCTGGATAGAAGAAGAAGATTGAAGTGAGTGAGCAGAAGAGGTAGTGCTTAACAGATCATCCCTTCCCTCTAACTGGACAAACTGAGCATAACCATGTCAGCAAAACCACTAGTAGAACCACTAAATCCCAAGCATTCTGGGGCTTTTTCATTAAAGTTGTGTATAATCTTTGTTTTACTTGTTTTTTTATGTGTTATTTTTTGTACTTTCTTGGCTTTTCATGAAATATCGGATCATTTTACACTTGTTGACTGTGAATTTTTCGTCAAGTAAAAAACATTTGATCTGGTATATTGAAAATAACTCTCTGCACCACCCAGATAGATGCTGCATGCCTCTCTAACTCTGTTTCCTGAGCCATCCCTCTGATGCACTCCTTTCTAATCCTGTCCATCCTGGTCTGTCTCCAGCTCTGCCGCCTCTACCTCCAGCTCCACCTTCTGTCTTTTTGTTGGTGCCACCGTCACAAACCATACATCACAGCAGGTCTCACTAGCATCTTGTAAAACTTCCCTTTCACTCTTGTATAGAGATAAATGAAATAACGTGGTCAATATTTCCGTTGCTCAAAGTTGTAGGTGACAGTTAAACTAGAAAAACAAAGTTCAGGTTCTAATTTGAGGTGTTCTGACTGAACGATTTATTTTTGTTGCCATCTAGGGGTCGAACAGACAATTGACCAACAAATGCATGTGTTTGAATTTGCTTCTTGTCATCGACCACAAAAAATGAACCAAGTTTCTTAGTCTTTAAGGATTTTCTAGGATTTTGTGTGAAGGTTTAATTCTGGAATCCTGTTTTGGCGTCTTTATCATTCTAATGATGTTGAGCTTTAGCTTTTTTTTTTTTAAATTTAAGTTCTGTTTCCTCTGTGGTTTTTGGAAGTTCTTCTTTTGGGGTTTTTAGTTCCCACAGTGTTTCCCTTGTCTATGTTTCCCCTCCATATTCTTCCACCTTCTCTGTTATCATGTTTAGTGTATAGTATCAGCTGTCTTCTGTTTAAATTTAACAGTTTGCTTTTTAATTTTCCTTCCCCCTTTGTGAAATAAGGATGTTGTGATTGTGTTTCACCTGTGTCTTTTTCCTCTTCTAACTGTTATTCCCCATTTAGTCCACAGTCTATATATAGTCCAGTCTTCCTATTTCTCCTTGTCTTTCTTTAATTGTCCTTCCTGTGCTGTGTCATGGTAATCTTTTTTTAGCTTTCTTTTATTCCTTTTTTTTTAGTCAATACCCAGTTTCTCTTTATGTACTACATTTGTGTCCTCTCTCCATTAGCCCATGACACCAGGTCTTAAGAAGGCGAGTGAGAAATGTGCTAAAAACAGAAACGGTGAAAGAGAACACTACTGCTGGTTGTGGTTTAGTGGGGAATTTTTAACTTCACATGGTTTCATTTATGCTTTTGTCTTAAGAGTAAGGTGTCAGTTATGCTTATACAGCTATAGGGCACACGTTGGCCTTCAAAACAAAAAACCCCCGTGAGAAACAATCCCAGTGACTCAGAAACTCAGTAGGCCGATGGAAATTACTGCTCATGTACATGTAGCCTATGCACCGAATGATCTATCTAGCTTGAGTTTCTTTTTCTGGCTGCATGACTGAAAATCACTTGATGGTTGGTGGCTTCACACTTAGATTGTGTTTCATGAAACAGGAAAGGATGTAGAAGTATTAACTAAAGAAGGCGGTCTTTCTTGTCTTCTTCTTTTTCTTTTTTTTTTAGACTTGAGTTTTTATCATATAAGAACATTTTGGTCCCACCCCTCTGGAAGATAAGCTATCTCAAATACTTCCTCTTTAATTTTTTTAACATGTTGTGTGTCCAAAGTCAGTGACCTCTATCCCTGATGTTATCTTATATGTGCTTTGTCAAGGCCTCAGCACAGCCATTTACCCCCTTCATTGCCATTTCTGTTGATAGAAAACAACACCCGAGAACACTATTTTTTTTTTTTTAAAAAAAGCAGTGCGGTAAAGGTAATGATAACAGAGGTGAAATGTAAGCACGAGTGTTTCATCTTTATGTTAAATTGTTAACAAGTATGGCTTTGTCCTACTGTACGTCACCTCACGTCTCCACGTGACACGAGAGGAATGCAGAAAGTTTTGTTTTTAAAAACCTTTCCTCATAAGCAGGTCTAGCAGAGATGATGGTTAACAGTTTTAAAAAATTACTTGCTCTTAAAGCAGCCGTCACTCTACTAACTGGACTGAACTCCCATTTTCATGATCGCCTTTAACTACAGAGGACAAGGAAGTATCTGAAACTTATCTACGGCTAACTAAGAACAATAAAAGTAAGATACAATAATTCTATAATCATAGCTTCATATGTTTTATATTCTTTAGGTTTGCTCAGGGGGCCTTTTTAATGCAAATGTTGTCAGCACAGCATCATGCTACAAGACATTAAACTGTTAGTGAGTTTATACTGCATCTGATAGAAAGGATATATTGATGAATATGATGTGTGATTTACTACTGATTTAAAGAAAAGGGCCAGTACTGGCAAAATCATACACCTATGTCCATGTACTTTACACTGTTAATGTTTACAGAAAGTATTTACATTCCAATAAGGCTTTTTCAGTGCTCAGAATAATAGATTATGTGTTTCAATAATGTAAAATTTGTATTATCTATTGTAAAAATCATTTAAATCCAACCAGACTTCCTTGTGACTGAGTTCATGTCTGCTTTGTATGACGGTGATCAGTAACATGATTTGCTTGTCTTCTGTTGTTTTTGTTGAGTTAAGCTTAAAATAATTTTTAATATTATTATTTTTTGTTTTTGGGGGGTGGGGCTTTTCAGGAAAGTAGGAAATGGGAGTGTTAAAGTTCCTCAAGTCCAAATCAAACCTCATGTTTACCTGATCTGCTTGGGAGCTAAACTGTCACCAAAGCTTAAAACACTTTAATTCAAAGTTTTACAACAAAGAAAAAATCCAACAGCTTCTCTGTTTGAGAACTTGTTTGGCAAGTCTTTGACAGACTACACGTCCTAGTGGATCAGGAGAATTCATCTAAGATTACTCGATACTGGAGACGTAGAAAATGTGCCACGGTGCTATGCACTGATTACAAAACCTTTGTGTTTTATTTTGTAAGATGAGCTTAACAGAATAAAAGCTTTACAGTTATTAGCTGGGAAACAGCTTTCTCTTGGTGTTTTTCTGTTTTTTTTAATTGCATTTTTCTTCTTAGCTTGTAAAACAGGAAGCATTTATGTCTTCACCAGGGATCTTACAGCCAATTCGGGATAAAAAGGTCAGGCGGTGGCGGTCGGTTCAGCAGTAAGATGTTTAGTTGTGATCAATTAAACCAAGTTTGAGGAGTAAATATTTCCTTTAATTTCAATTTGAAATGTTTTTATTCATTCACTTTGGAAAAATATAAAATAAAAACTAAAAGCAGCTGCAAAGCTTACTGTTTGTTTATTTTAATTTACACAACACACTGCACGTACTCACGAACCCACAGATGATAATAATCTCCTCAGCTTCATAATGCTGAGGGGTTTTTTTTCACTTTAAGACACTCCCTTCATCATCATTTTGAACTGCTGCAGGCTGCTTTTTTCTGAAAAAGCAGCCTGCTCACACACACAGACACACACCTAGCTGTTCAACATAGTTTAATTTCAACTTTAGCAGCCAAAGAGCCAAATACCTCCCTTAGAAGCTGAAGACTGGCCTCAAACATGACTACAAATGAAGAATAAGGTTGCTCATTGCCTCTAAAAGTTGCTAAACACTAAATATATTGGGTGTGATGCTTTTTTTTTCAAGTCACGGATAAACCTTTTCTCCCAGATGAGTAAATCTACCTTTTTTCTGTTTCCTTCCAGCCATGAGAGACAGACTGGGACACCTGCATCAGGTACAGACTGACACTGAGGGTTTCAGTACAGTGCAGCTAGATAACCTATCAGATTATGAAGCAACAGCTGAAGATAATGAGCTGGATGATGTCCTGAAGGAGGCCCAGCTGATACGTCTGGAAATCCAGCAGATCCAAAATGACATCAGAGATCTGAAGGACGTGAACTATCAGGCTTTGAATAAGACTTCAGACTCCATCGTGATAAAACGGGACTCCAACGCAATCGGGGCAGATATTAAACGCAGTGGTGAAGCTGTGTTGCAGAGGCTGCATATGCTAAATAACCTCAGAGGTGAACTGGAGGTCCAGCGCGGCAGTTTGGACCCCACAGTGCGCATTGCTCGAACACAGTACCACTGCCTGAGCAACGCTCTGCGGGAGGTGATGTTCAGCTACAATGACACAGAGATGAACCACAGGGAAGCCTGTAAAAAGCAGATCCAGAGACAGATGGAGATAGTGGGTAAGGAGGTTAGCATGGAGGAGCTGGAGGAGATGATGGAGGGTGAAGAATTGACTGTGTTCAGCACCCAGATACAAGGGAAATCTACCCGGTCTGCCCTAATGCAGATAGAGAGCCGGCACCATGAGCTGCAGGAGCTGGAGAAGAGAATCGCGGGAATCCAGGAACTGTTCCTAGATGTGGCTGTCCTCGTGGAGGAGCAGGGCACAGGAGTGGAAAACATCCAGAAAAATGTTCAAAATGTTGGTGTGATCATTCTGGAAAGCAGGGTCTATTTGGATAATGCCATTAAATCTGATAAAAACAACCCCTTCAAGAAGCTGTTTTGCGCCTGCTTTCCATGTTATCACAATTAGGTCTTATGAAGCTTTTATTGATTCTAAAATATGGTGAAACTTTTAATGAATCGCACTGGCTTCCAGGATACACCCACAGACGGGAGCACAGTAGATGCTACACAGTAGACACTAATAGAAAGGTTTGAACACTGATGGTGATGAAGTTAAGTTGCGCTGGTCATCATAAAACAAGACCCACCAATTGGCTGACTCTCCGTTTCTCTGGGAAGAGTCCCACTTCCTGCAAGCCTGAATTGTATAGGTGCTTAAAAATAGATCTATAGTAAAATATTTATTTAAGGCATTTATCTGTAAAAGCAAAGTGCAATTGCTAATGTAAAGACTCATAGAACTGTTAATATTTAACCTTAAATACTTAAGTTAGGTGATTTTAGATTGTTATTTTAGGTATATTTAGACTTTATGTGATTTTATGTGAAGTTGTAATGTGGCCTTTATTGACGGAAGTATAAAAGTTTAGCCATTAACAGGCTGGTATGACTGTAACTATTAATGATTTTTGTTCAAATGTTGATAAAGCCTTTGCTCCTGTAACTGTATGATACCAGCCAAAGGAGAGTGTCAGCAGTCTGGATATCAGCCTGTCTGTGTGACTTGTGCTCCTTAAGTAAAATAAATAATTTAAATAATTTAAAAAAAAAAAACCTTGTGTAACTATCGCTTCTTCATTTCAGCTTGATCTTTATCATCTGTAATTTTACACTGCGAGACCTTCAGCTTTTTAAATACTCTGATACATTTTCACTTTTTCAACACAGGACTGTTGCAACTGACTAAATGGAGCAAATGGCCATAGCACTTTTTCTGTTCCTACATATAAGGCAATTATGAAGGCTTTTCCTTGCCCAACTACCAAAGAAAATTGCTTATTATAGGTTACAAGACTCCCGGTGTTGTAACGCCCCCCTCCCCCCTTCCCCTTTCTCTCAGAAATGTAAATTTTAATACTCGTTGTATATTTTTAGCATTGTGTTTTTAGACCTGATCATTAAAACCACATGTAAAAATATTGGGGTTGCACTTTCCACTTGTGTCAAACACTTGTTCCTGAACACTAACTGTGTTTTATGTCGAGGCTTTCCCCCCGTTTTCAGGTATATGTCGAACTTCTATTCGCGTTTTTATGTTAGTATAATAAGATGAATTTCTTTTTTCGTGCTTCTTGTATTCTTTTCTATCTTCACAGCGAAGAATTTAAACTAAAATGAAAATGACTGAGATTCGTGGTCGACTCATGAACTCATGAAAGGTTTTTACAACACAAAACCTTTATTGCGCAAATTCCAAATGCGCACGCTTTGACATTAAAAAAAAACAACACCATATATAATGACTGTGACTGACCTACACCTCCTTCCTGGAATCAAACCCGAGAAGCAGTGAAATGTGTAAAGGGGAAAAGGCGTTATCTTCCGCATTAATACCCGCTGCAGGGTATATGAGCAGTGTAATGTCAGCGTGTCATTTGTAATGTATAGGACGTGATGCAAGACCTCCTTCAAAAATACCAAGTTGACCCTGGTACATGTTGAAATTTGCATTTATAACCGAGACAAAAAGAGGAAATGAGTCTTTCCGTACTCGCCCCTTCTGCTTTTGGGACTTTGATTCTCTAGTATCGGTGGAGGACTCAAAAAGGTAGGCTGTGTGCACCTTCTGTTGTACTCTCTATATAGATATAGGCTCAGTAATCGATACATTGGTGTATTGTATCATACAGGTCGATTTCTGTATCAAAAGATTGCTTTCGAGCTTTTCTGTTTCCTCCCGATCTCACCTTATCACGGGAGAGGATGCTTTGCGCTTCTCTGATGTGGTTTTTTCACTTTAGTGAGGATTTTTAACATTATCTACATCACAGTACACCTCAGGAATGGATTCGTTTAGCAGGAAATAACCGCTTCCTGAAGGACAGGAACTTTTAAAATAACTTCTATCTCATGATGATGAGTACAGCTGAGGAAGTAACTCACCAATTTGCTTTTGAGGACTTTTCACTGACCTACAGCCACCTTGGATAGTACATCAAAAGCTGTTATCGTTATCTAAAAGTGAGACTTAACATTTGTGCCTTAATGTTAATAATAACATATCAAAAGAAGAACTCGGTGTAATACCAGCCCCTCCTTCTCTCTGTTAACAGGAGGTTTCAGTGCAATATTGAAAGTAAATGACCAAAGAACAGTAGACTATTGCTCATGCTGGTCACATTTATGTGACCCATCTTATTTGCTATCCAATATCAAGTTTCATTCCGCAAGGGACCGGAGGTTTTCACATTAAAAAAAACCTGTAACTTAACTTGTGTAGCTTTGCGTGATTCACATTTCAGAATAATCTCAAACATTTAAGTTAAAGTGTCAAATAAGTCATTTTAAGTCCTCTCTCTTTATGGCCACCGACCTTTACTCCAATTTTCTTCTGATTAGCTGAAAACAGAGGGCTTGAATACAGATGGGTGGGGCTTCTGTGCTCAAGGCCAGAGAGCTGTGTGCCTGAGATGACCATGTTAAGGATATATGTAAAAAGTGACATCATATAGAGCTGAAAGTAGAAACAACAGTCCAAAGCCTGGTTGTTTTCTTGCATGTGCTGACCTCACTATTTGAAACTTCTGCTATGTTTAATATGAACAGTATACATGTGACAGGAAATAAGATGAAGAGGAGCAAAGCCAGCAAAATAAAATTGTGCCCTTAGAATTTTTGATATTAGTTTTTTATCTAGTTCTTCACCACAGAGTAAAGAATGTGTTTCCCACAATTCCATTAGAGAGGTGAATAAATGTTTGTGACTCTTGCAGGTAAGATGAAGGACCGACTGACTGAGCTGCAGGCCTTCACGCCTGCAGAGCAGGAGTACAAGCCCACAGAGAACGAGAGACTCACCGTTGAGGATGAGGAGCCTCTGGAGCAACACGCCATTGTGTTTGCGGGTGAGGACATGATGGATGGCATCTACAAGGATGCCCAAGTGATGAGGAAGGAGATCCAGTTGCTCAGAATGGATGTGAAACGTCTGGGGAAGCAGAACACCAGGTTCCTCACATCAGTCAGGAGGATCAGCAGCATCAAGCGGGACTCCAACGCACTGGGACGAGACATCAAGGCCAGAGGGGAGTCCATTTATAAAAAGCTGGAAAAAATGGGGAAGCTGAGCAAGGAGCTGGAGGAAGACCACGGGGTTACATCAGCTTTGGCTCGCATGGTGCGCTCGCAGTATGTGTCTTTGACCAGCGCCTTCCACAGTGCCATGTCTGAATACAATGAGGCTGAAATGGCGCAAAGGGAGAATTGCAAAACCCGCATCCAGAGGCAAGCAGAGATCATGGGCAAGGAGGTAACCAGGGAGCAGATAGACGAGATGACTGAGACGGGCAAGTGGAACGTCTTCTCGGATAATCTCCTGCTGGAAGGGAGGACTGCCAGATCTGCTCTCAACGAGATTGAGAACAGGCACAAGGAGCTGCTGGAGCTGGAGGGCCGCATTAGGGACATTCATGACCTTTTTTTCCAGATGGCGATGCTGGTGGAGCAGCAGGGCTGCATGCTGGACAACATAGAAGCAAATGTAGGGGCAACAGAGGACTATGTAGCCAAAGCTTCAGCGCAGATCAAGCAGGCTGTGAAATACAAGAAAAGCAATCCATGCAAGAAGCTGTTTTGTTGTTGTTTCCCGTGCTGTAAATGAGGCGCCACCAGTTCCCGCCCCCTACCAGAACATTTGATTCAAATCCGCTTTCTCTGCAAATGTTTCTAAATGCTGACATGAAAGCTTTTTCCTGCTCTAGATGTGTCCAGATATCACATTCTGGTATCATTTTCTTTATTGAGTTGATACCAACTAGTCAGAGTGATTCAAACCACATGCACATATGCAAATATATACAGTGCGATGATGGTAGTTACATTTCCTGATTGCTACTGAGAACAGCTTATGCATACATGACTGCTGTAAAAACATCGAAATTATTATTTCATGCGACTTGCAGCTTTGTTTAGCTTTTAGCTTTGTACAGGCTGCAATATTTAAGCCCATAAAGTATGATTTTATTTATAAATAAATGCCTTGGAGTGGCTATATTTGGACAACTTGAATGTACATCTACAGCTAAGCTTAGAACCGGTACTTGCTATAGACGTGTTTCTTATTGCAACCATTGCTTCACAAGTGTGTAGAAACACTGATCACAGCTCAACCAGCAATTGTGGTTAGCTGGGGAGGCAAGTTAGATTTGTGAGGATTGTGCAACTATATGTTAGCCACCCCCATGTATATCATCACCAGCTACAAGCCAAGGCTGTGCTTTTCCTCCACGTGTTGCTTCACATAAAAAAACACACTCACACAAATATCTGTGTGTCAGCTCCATTTTAGAAAGTCAATGATTTTGTTTATCACTGCCAGACAACCAACGTCACCAAAGCCAGTGAAATCTCTTTAACAGGGCAGTTTGCCTGACTTAATGCGGTGTTTGCACAGGTAATGTTACAGGGGAAACAGAACAGAATGGCAAACTAAACAGGTCAGAGGACTTTCTGTTTGCACAGGAGGCCTGTCTCACTGTCCTTTGTGATGGTAGTAAAATTTTAAAACCCTTATTTTCCTGTGCCTCTGGGCCAGCCCATCCCTCACTGGGGGAATCCCAGTCATCAGCTGGTAAACTGAGGGTGTTGTGACTCAGACTGCTGTGTACCTGTGGGAGTTTTCAGACATAACTGCCTCTGCTCTGTGTTGAAATGAGTTTCAGGGCTGCAATGATTGCACTTCCTCAGCAGTGCTGTGCGGTTTCTACTGGGGGCATTTACCGACAAGAGCGCGTTTATTTGAACTGTGGCGTCACGCCTCTGGTAGCTGTGCGTGCTTTATCTGATGTGTGCCATGCGCTGATTGTGCACGTGCACTCACCAGGATGGCCGAGTGGTTAAGGCGTTGGACTTAAGATCCAATGGACAATAGTCCTCGTGGGTTCGAACCCCACTCCTGGTAAAAACGGAAGTTTTAACCGATGTTTGGAGGAAATGCGTGCGGTCTTATGCACTTCAGGGCGACTTTACTCTTCAAGTAAAAGGTCAGCCTTTGTGCGCTTAAGCTCCTACAGTAATAATTGTCACCTTCCTTTGAGATTCCTGTTGCGAAGCCATTGTTTGCCATTGCTTTGTCTGTTTTTTTCTTACCACGCATGCACTCTGGTTCAGCTAAGAAACTAAGAGAGACTTTGGATAATTACAAGGGTCACGCCTCACTATAGATTTGAGAGTTAACAGGTATTTGATTACACAGTGTGGTCCAAATGCAAACAAAACGGCAGTACAGTAGCAGATATTGATATTTAAATATTCAAAAGCCCCTAAAAAAGCAGTTGTTGATGTTTTCTAACAGATTTACAAATGCTGTAACAAAAGGAGACGTAATTGCAAAGTAACATGCCCGTGGAGAAGCTTTTATCATTGCCATTCTTCAGTGACGCTTTTATTCAAATATTTGAAACGAAGTCAATGATGAGGACTTTTATACTTTATTTTCTCTTCATTCTTATCTTGAATTAAAACCCACCAACCGGGGACCAACAGCTAAATCACATCCTGGCTCATCATCGCATGTTACGTACCAAGAGGCCTATTTATATTTCCTGTGTGGACGGTTTCGCGTCCCTGATGGTGAAGGTCTGTTTATGTGGTGCCATCTAGCGGTGAGAGAAATATTATTTCACAAATGCTGTATTATTGTTTTCCCAGTTTCACAGACACTGTATTAAATCTCTCAAGACTTTGCTGGCACTAAAAGAAGACAATGTGTCCTATTTATATTCTTCTGCCTTTGCAATGGATCAAAACGGATGAATAAAACACAAAGATATTAGAGTACAGTTTGAAATGGCTTTTGATCCAATCATATGTAGACTAAGTGGGTCTGAAGAGTTTTTATGGAGAACAATATCTGTTAGTGTACACCTGATCTAAATATAGACTCTGATAGATATTGAAAAAGATTAAAAGTCGAAACATTTAAGAACTCAAGAGTCTCTTTATTAAAATGGACCAAAAGTCAAACAAATGAAGTTGGCATACTGTGGTGAAAAAAACAAAAAACAAAAAAAACAAAAACAAAAACAAAAAAAACACCAGCAGTGATAATTTAACCCAAAATACTGATCAAAATGCTGATACACTCCAGGTGCAAAGACTGCAAAACAAAAAGTGATCTGGAGACCTCTTACATGCATGAACATCCACAGAATAAAAGCCTGATTTGCATGCTCAGTTCCTCATTTAACTCACTCGGACAACTTGAACGCCAAAGAGTTAGTGCATCTCATCAGGTTTTGCTGATTTCATTCTTTCTGTCTCTCTTTCTATAATATAAGAAAGGACATAAAATGTACTAATATTAATGCGTGGTGCCTGAGAAACAAACTGTATAAATTAGCCTGTAAATGGACTGATTACATGCAAAACAGGAAGGAGTAGCATTCTTGCTGCTTCAACAAAGACAACCTGTCAGATTTAGGATTTAAATTTTACAGTACATGCCGTCATGTGCAAATCAGTAATTCAAATCCAGACCTAACAGAGGCAGACTTGCATTTCTTAAAACAAAAATAATAATAATAATAAATGTACCAGTACAAAAAACGAAGAAAAAAAGAAATCACACAAACTGAAAAAGACAGTTTAGTTTTGACACAGCTTGGGCTTTCCTACATCCAAAAGAAAAAGAAACACACACCATACCCATATTTCATCACTAACTAATGACATGTCTGTCATTTTAAACCAGTTTCAAAAAGTTTTTGAAGATTTCTTTCTATATATGGGAACTACAAGTTTTGTTACATCAAATTTCTTAATTCAGACTAAAAAAAATACAATGAGGCTGAAAAAACCAAACAAAACCTTACTGATAAACATGAAAACCATGTTATTTCAGCACTGCAACTCACACTACTATAATACTGAAACAGTTCCCCAAGGATCCTGTAATAATAAAGCAGCTGACCAGCTGTCGTGGCATTTTCAGCAATTTTCTCGAATACACTACGGTGAGACGAAGCTTCATGATACGACCCTGAGACACCAACAATATGTGAAAATAGCGGACATGTAGTGCCAAAAAGAAAAAACAACAACTTGAAAACCATGATAAATAGTGAATATGAACATAGTTAATGGTGCTTATTAAAGGAGGGAAGTGTGTGCCCGTTATTTTTCCTAGAACCTGGCCTGCAGGATTTGTTGAGGTCTGACACTGAGGGGAAGGAAACCACACTTCCTGCTAACCAGTCACTGATGATTCACCAGGTACATTCATTATTTGACTTCGCTACATTTAGATTTTTGAAGAAAATAACCTCTAAATAATTGCTGGTTACTTGTCAAAATAGCTGGTAAAAAAAACCCACAAGCCAACCGTGGCTTAAAAAACAAACAGAAAAAAAAAATAGTACTGACACTCAACTGGTAAATAGTGTTGCTTCATGTCTCTGTACCCTGACTAACAAAGCCGCGTCTTAGTCAGAAGTGTGAAAAAAAGTTGAGGGTGGACCACTGTTGTGACTGCTAAAACCTGCCAAAAAAACCCAAAAAAAAGGTGTGAGCATGCTCATGCTGGTGCAGTTTAATCATCCTGTAAAGTGGAGCACAGAAGTTTGGTCAATGTGAAAATGTAGAATTAACGCTGTGAAATCTGAGTTCTAAGCAGTACTCACATGGTCACTGTAGGTATCTAAAGAAGATGTCAAAGCGTTCTAGGTAGCAGTAACTGTTCTTGCGTGAAGCAGTGGAGAAATCTCACTAAAATGTTCTGAACGACCTCATGGCGAGAAAAATCAAGTGTATCTCAAGTTAAGGCTCTACTCTTACCACTGAAGCATGATACTGACTTTTTGATATAAAAATTGTTTAAAAATTCTACACCAAAAATATTCGATATTTACACAGTGTCAGAGTAGTAGTAAAGATACAACTTCAGTACACCAGGATTAATATCAGAGAGGAAGATACAACGCTAGAACTTCAATTTGCTTTTTTATAGTCCTGATGTGTGACTGCAGCAGGTCAGCCTCAGCTGAAGTATATGTCAGCTCACTACTGGCTTTGTCTTATTTGAGGGATTGAAGTCTGTTTCCACTGTGTAGCAGAGAACCACAGGTAAAGTTCAACCAGGAGTTGTCTTTCTGGGGCCCGAAGAGTCGTAATGTCTGTAAACACTGGAGGAAAAATGTGCATTTGAGTTCTGTAGGACCCAGAGGAGTCTGAAGGATGACCTCACTGTTTATGCTACTGGTTTGAGAACTGAACGTAAACACCTCCCTTCCTTTGTGAGCTCTCTGGTGAAACACATGCATGGCAGAGGGATTGCCTCCTCCCGACGAGAAATTGTGTTGAATTTGCATTTCTTGAGGTGATCAGCCATGCTGGCGATGTTTGCAAATTTCCACTCGTTCACTGTACCAAAGGCTGTGCTGAATCGCCACACCTGAATAGAAATAGGAAAATTTGTTTATTTTCATGTGCTGAGCACAAGACAGACAAGTGAAATTTGCTCTCAGCTGTGTTTAAAGAGTGTGCAAGTGGACAAACCTTGTTTGTGATCTGCCATGAGGGAGACCCATCAGCACGCCGTTTCTTCTCCCACAGCAGAACAACCATGCCACGCATCTGCAGCAGGCTGGCACACACATCTCTCATGATGCGGGACACTCTGGAGAGCTGGCACAAGCTAAAGCTGTCCAGAAAACTTGCTATGTGCTGCAAAATTTCAAATGGAAGACTGCTGAACTGGTCACAATGAGAGCTAAACTGGCAGTTCTTTCTCAGGCGCGTGTCCCCAGTTTTCAACGGCAAACCAGGCTGCACCCCGAAAGAACCCAGGTGCCTGTCGTGGATGATCCGGAAGCCCTGAACAGATGGACAAAATCGTCTTTGGGAGTAGGTGCAGCCGTAGTAAGCCAAGGGGCAGCGCTGCTCCATCCAGCCATTGAGTCCAGCATGAATATCTCCATGAACATTTTTGAAATGAGATGAGAATTCATCTCGTCGGAACAGCTGCCCACACACAAATGTGAACATGGAGCGCTGTTTGGTTTGGTATCGGGCCACACATTCAAGCACTAGGTCCAGTCTGAGAGTGTGGAAGGGGCTGGGGTTGGAAAGCTGTGGACTGGCGTGATCGCAGGCTGAAGCTGAAGCAATATCCCCCACCATGGTGTTGGTTGCAAGAATGGCAGAAGGGAAGGAGAATGTTTGCGTACCAAAATCAATGTGGTAGCCATCAACAAACCTGCTGTCTGAGATTCCTCTCCCTCCTGGAGAATCGCCAAGGCAAAAAAGCAAAGCTGCAGTGATAAGATCAATGCCATGGAGGCCCATGGGGTCATCTGCTACCTCCAGGTCAGATGTGTCAACTGCCTTGTCCTCCATCTTCGCTCGAAACAAATAAGGATCTGACAGCAGGGCCCGACGTCCATTAAATGTAAACATACTTATTCCTCTAAGCACTTCTACATTCTGTAGCTTACGCTCCAGGCACCTGTACCTGAGTTCAGTGGGTAAGTGTTGCAAGAAGTTATTTCTCACATGATCGGACAGTAGGAATGGCATTGGAGGTGCAAGTGGTTCTTGTTGAGGCACAGGAGGTTCCAGTGCTACAACAGGCATGTAATTCTGAGGCATCTCTGGCCAGACAAGGTTGGAATCATTTATCGGTTCATCAATGTCGTCTTCCTTCTCATCAAAAAGCAACTCAACAAAATCATTTTCTTCAACCCAGTTGATACCATCTTCTTCTCCATCGTCTATAGCAGCGCTCTCCACTCCGCCCACCGCTCCCAGCTCGCACTCTGAATCAGAGTCACTTTCTTGCATATCTACATTCTTCCCGCCTTCAGCAACATAAATACCATGGCTATCACCATTTTCTCCATTATGGAGTGCTCCATTCTTATCAGTCTTTTCGCCATTTAAGTTTCCAACAATTACATTAATGTCCTTGGAATTAGTGAGGATGTCCAAGGCAGCAGCTAAATTTCTCCTCGTCTCCACTGAAGCCCTGTACAGCTCATTAAAGGGCTCTTCCTCCATTTCCACTGTTGCATTACCTAACACTGTCTCTGGTAAACTTGATGCTGTGGCCATTTTATCACTTTCATCTAATTCTTTATCTCCATTCTTCGACACAGTGGTCGTGACCTTAAGGGACTCTAACAGCATCCTTTGATCCTGCAGAGCCAAAGCCATGTCTAACTGCTCCACCTCATCGAAGTCTTTGCTCAAGTTTTCATAGGACTTGCGATCAGCATAGCTGACGGGCCAGCGGTTCCACTCCATAGTACAACATACTATACTTGCAGGACACGTCTCAAGGTGTTGTGCCATCCTGACCCTTGCGATAGTGAAAGGGCAGCCAAACCCACTGTTGAGGCAAGGGAGGCGTTCATAGGGACACAGCAGACGATGTTCCCCTAGTTTGCACGAGTGAAAAACTGCCCCACAGACAAGAGGACAGCCAATGAGGTCACAGGAAACACCTGTCTCTGGTCTCACCATGCATCTTCTATTGATGCATTTAAGGCAGTGGGGGTGTAGAGTCTCCATTTTTTTCCCTAATGGTAGCTGGAGAAGGTGTCCAACCCTGAAACACAATGATAAACAGATTTGTTTTGTTGAGAAATCTCACACGTCATGGTAACACCCCTGTTTTTAGGTTTAGCTGGAACAAAACATGTTTAGGGTTACATTATACCATCTATGCAACCATTTAATAGCACACATGTGCCTTCAAAAAGCCCTGTCACCGATTCTCTCCACATGCACTGTAAACCTTTACGCTATTCAGTAACATTTCACAACACCCATCTTAGGTTTCATGGTCACACCAGTTTTTCCAGGACTTTCAAGGCAAACCTGAACCCTGACCTTTAGGCCCTGTAACTTGCCCTTAGTTTTTCAAGGAATTCTGGTAACAAGTAAAACAAGAACAGCGAACAATTCAACCTGCCAACCGGGTGCAACACAGCCACTAAAATACTTCTGAATTATAACGCCGGGCTTATTTGGTCATGCTACTTGCGTAGGGGATTTGTGGGATAATGAACGCAAGCTAAGAGGACAACAATCATATTAAAGACCCACAACAATGCTGCAAGCCCTAACAATGCAGTGCAACAAAGAAGAGCTATTATTCAAGTCTTTAATGCCTTGGCCGGCGACCGCTGTCTAAATTACGCAAGCACAACTGGCTAAAAACACAAACAAAAACACAGCAACAACTCCTAACACATCAAACCATCAACAGATTACATGTTAACAACATCCACTAGCAGCTTGGCAAGTATGCATTTACGTGTCAAGGTATAAAGTTAAAGAATGACAAGCTAAGTCACAAAACTTTAAAAATCTTAATAAGTAAACAAAAGAACATCATCAACAACATGACTAGCCGGTTAGCATTAGCGGCTACACTTTGTTAGCCTAATTGGTTAGCTAGCTCACAGCTTCTACAAACAACTTACCCGAGTCGCTGGGCTCTCCGAGTGTGCTTTATTTATATTGTCTAACTTTTAACAACTCCGTCGATGCCTGCAGTACTGAAACTGTGACTACACAAACACCCCGCGGTATTAAATGTGTTTAAATCTTCTTATGAATTGAACAGGCTGCAGCTGCTTCCTCGCTGCTCGGGGTCAGTCGGAGTTATGTTGATCCTGATACTGCGGCGCAGTATCGTCATACGTCATCACGTAAACCGGTCGGTGTCCCGGTCATATTTAGGTTTATGGAGGCAGACCTGAGAGCACTGAAATAAACAGAGTGGGAAAACCCCCGA